GAGGTCATGCAATAACTGTGCAATTGATGCTTGAAAAAGAGACTGCTGCCAAGGAAAAGCTACTTTTCGGGAAATGAGGATTAACAGACATTGGCTACACCATACAAGGTGGCATAAATCATGGGATTACATCAGTTGATCACAAATATCTGCTTTCTGTGACCCGAAGAAGTAAAGTGATACATTAGCTCCCGGCAGTGCTTAAATGTAGTTCGTCCTCTCGGGTTAGTTGTGTATTCATTCTTACAAGGGGAAAATCAGGAACTGGATTTCCTGTTGTGACATATAATTTTCTGTTACTGGGACTGTTTGATTCATTGATCTATCCACGGTTAATGTGATGTGAGAACACCATTGAGCACCACCGTACGACTGATCTGACCCCACTCTCGCATTGCGTCTATTTACTTTCTCCCTTTACATCCACCCGTCACTCCCTGTGCACTTCCCCATGAACCTCTCTACCGTAAACAGTCTGTCCAAAACCGTTTATTGTCAAATCCGCATGTGACACAATGACCTGTCAACGTCGGTTGACTTTGATCGAACACGTGCCGCAGCAATGCGTCTGTCAACGTCGTGCCAAAATTCGTTACGAAACATGCTGTGAGTTTAAGTGTGATAAAAGAACGAAAACTTCTTGATGTTCACAGCAAAATTGTTCTTGTAGATTGTTATACTAGTTAGCACACCCCTTTCTTTTCGTTCTAACTCTTTTAATTGAACATAAAATTATACATTTTTCATGAAGGGGGCAGTAACCAATCACAGGGCTACTATACAACATACAAGTCAGACGGTGGTGGTAGAACTGGAACACATTCTACGGGGCGACTTTTGGTGACCTTTACCTCTCGGCCACCACTGTCCCTCAGTGAACCTCATCCCCTGGAGAGTCAGTTCAGTCTCTATCGATTTAATGAACTTTATTTATGAAACAAATCGTCTCGTGGGCGGCAAACTGCACCCAATAGCTTTTTTGGGGCACGTCAGCAATGCGCAATTTTCGTTTCTCTCACGGTATTCGAATTTTGAACCACCTGTCAGTTGGGAACTGCAACTTCTGACACGCCAAGCACGCATCTCTGATAAGAACAAAACAGTTATCCAGTGCTCTTTGCCAGTCATAAAATAAATTTCCTCACAAGGAAAACAATGTTTAACATGCTCTTTCAGCTGGATGAGAACAAAACCTGTTTCGTCCTTCTCAAAATGTAAATGGAGGAAATCTGACGAACGAAAGCCACTCAAAATTAATTTATGAATCCATCTGAATGTCAAATAAACTTCACCTGGCAGAGAATAGATACATTAACATGTATCGTCTAGTTTACCGACAGTCGACGAAAAATGAATCAGTCAATTACGGTCATAGGCCTGGTTTTTACCCAAAATTATGTTAATTACCCCGTTTTTGATATTCAATGCCCCCGACAAACAACAGGCTGTCGCGGTGAACGGACCATTAACTACGAAGGATGCAAGTACGAAGCGCTAAAGATGTTTGTCGAGCGAACTATTGAACCGACAGTAAAGGCCGGTACGTGTGTACAAAGAACACGGTACCATTTCCAACCAGTCGGTAAGTCACAGTCTGTTGGTTGTTTTCGTTGAGCACCCTGAGTATTTCGTACTATGGGATGTATGATTACCTCAACTACACACACATGCAGAGTTGAGGTAATCATACATCCCATAGTACGAAATACTCAGGGTGCTCAACGAAAANGGGCATTGAGATATAAATCATTCAAGCAAAATGTAGCACGCGAGTTGTCTTGCAAACTTCACAATCACATTAAATTTTAAACAGCCGGTTTACGCATTTGGCTGTATTCCGAAAAGTTGTGGTCATTGCATCTCATTATTCTTCCACTCTCACCACATCTCCTCCATATCCAGAATGTCCTCGGAACCCCAAAACAATACGACATCAGTGCCGACATGCTGTCGAGCGGGACAAACTGGCCCCAGACTCGGTGGATCCAGCGCTTATCTATCGCCAGGTGGAACACGTGTGGTGGCAGATTGGTGCATGTGAATGTCGTCTGCAACGACGGTCGCACTTTGAGGCCTGCGGATGCGACCAGTCCATGCTGGGGTCGAATCTTCCAGCCGATTTGAATCGGTGCCATGTTCCGAGTGGGATACTCATCAAGTATACACGACGTCTGCGTCTTGAAGTAGCTGGTCGTGTACCTGAACACGAAATAGGGACTCGACTGCTTAACCTACAAGAAGCCAAATGCCAACCGGAATTCAAAGTGCAATCCGTACGAAAAATCGGTATGATCATCTTGAGTGCGCGATGAGACTTCTCTCTGTGTGGGTTCATACACCTCTTTATATCCGAATCCATGATAAGCAAGTACGAATCCTCAAGTGGTGACTTTCGTCGTGTGCACAGAGCAAATGATGCACAAATTAAGAAGTCAAGACGTAGTGCTTTGTTGCTACCTGGTAGCTTGCGAAGATGGATTGTGCGACAGTCTTAGCAAGTGCCCAGTGACCAGGTGGGCAGTATGCCTGCGCTCTTCCTGTGAAGTTCTTCTTATGAGCTTCATTTGGGTCCGTATGCTCACTGATAATGAGATCCATCTAGGTGAAAACAACAGTATACAATGTTTCCTGGGTTTTCGATTCATGTTATCGATGCTCCCTCCCCACACGACGAAATTCATCACATAATCTTATCAAATATTTCATTATTCTCATGAAGTAAAATACTTGTGTTCAGTGCTAAAGACAAAGCTCAAAAGTGTGTGTTGAACCATCATCACATCAGGACCCTTTTGAATATCTGGTACCACATCCATTTTAGTCAAGGTGTTTGTGTCTGCAACCTAACATGGTAAACAAAATAGAGTTCTTAGTTTTTGCATGGTACACAAATAAGTGTAAAAGCATTTCTCCGGAGGCTTACGATCAGTTTAGTGACCGAATTTGTCCACCACTTTTGTGCACCCGTCATGACTCTGTCTTTTACTTGACCTCTCCATGGGAATTTCCGTGTTTGAAGGTTTTGTAGTGAAAGGGCAAGGCGCATCCAAAGCATTCGTGTTCGATTCGGGACGATCTAATAGTTCAATGTGGAATACTTCTCAACCAGATTAGCGCGTCAGAATCCTTCTGCGGTGTATAACATGGCTATCGATCCATCTTTATTTTTTTAGGCCGCGATGCAATCACATCAAGCCAAGTAGGACAGTTCCCTAACGCTTCATCAGTTGTTTTCTCATAATGCGAGAGTGAAATTTATTCACTCTTTGAGCACAGTATACAGACCAGTATTACTTTTTTAAATCTGTTGTTGCATCACAGACCTAATTTTAAGCTTTACTGGTATACTTATCTTAAATTCAGTTTGTCCGGATGCGAAAATCTCCACCGGTGCTTGCGTTCGAGCCCAGGACGGACGATCGTACCGATCGGTTTACGTGCATCGCTGGTTCCGTCAAGGATGTCAGTGTGTATCCGCCCAGCCGGAACTGAAGCAACGTGTTATTTGTGCCTGTGTCCCGAAATGGGGGATGAAGCGTTGTACTGCTAGTCGCCCCGGTGCAGTCCGTGATCGATTGGAGTTCCGTTTGCTTCAAGAACAATTGGTATCCCGACCAACCGGACCGAATGGAAAATTGGAACCGACTTGTGTACCCATGCTGCCGATTGAACGAGTCCATATCACCAGTGAGTTTCGACATCACATTCTACTCATTTTCTCCTTGCATCGTCTGTGCTCTTCTCCTTACCCCTTACTATAGTGTGGTCACACCCCGGGGACTCGCGCGGTCATTTGTTCCACAGACCTTTTCTGTTGTTCCAACTCGGATAAACAAAATGCGATAGCAGTTCCATTTACAATCAAGGAGTCAGCTCCAACTTTATTCCAAAACTGGACTAGCGAGAAGGTTTATATATGACAGCTACATTATTGTTCTTTTGGGGCATTTTCCCTTTAAAGTGGACTATGAACTGTGAACATGGAACTTGAACTCCGAGGCTGTCAGAGCACCAATTGTCTAGAGCCTAAAACTAAAGTGTAAACTGTCAGTTCAAGTAGATGCCACTTTTAATTCGGCAGAGGTTCGATGGATATGGGCATTTGAAGACAACGGTCCCTGACGGTTGGTGTAGTTAGTTTTGCTGGACACAGCCTTGTCTAACTACCCATTTTGTTACTATATTCACTGACTGATATTTGGACCGAAGTGACTCATTGCTAGGCGTTTTAGCTTTCTCATGGTCAGAGGTTTTATGCTGAATGCAACCAAATATATTCGGTGTCACTCATTATTCACTTTCTCAGTTTAGCCATCCGTAAATTCACCGATATCATCACCTGTTTATTCATCGTATGGGGGTCCCTTTGCTTGGGAGTTCATTAGTTCCTCAATCATTTGATCCATGCTAGTTGTGTGATGGCAGTTAAAGAGGACTGCTAATCTACTGTTCCATCCTTGCTAACGAGTCTAAACAGGGACAAAACAGTTATTCCGTAACGCGCTATGTCGGCCATTAGATACGCCTTGACCACGACCAGTAATTTATCATTTTGAACGTTTGCAATTCTTTTTATCGCACTGATAATTGTATACTGGTACTTCAACAATCACGACCAGACAGATAAGTCTAAGTTCTACTGGATGGTTCTGAAATCAGCATGGCTGGAATTTGTGAGTCTTGTTTTATGTGATACCTGCTGAGTACAGTATAATCTAATGACCTCAAAATCCGTTGTATACGAACGGGTATCTACGTGAAACATTGACGTTAAAACTGGTTTATTTATTCGGTGTTTTAAAGTTTGAAAATTTAGGAATACTATAAATACAAAAACAGGATGGCATTTACTAACTTCGCGTTTCTAGGGAAAGTATGAGACTGACATAGAAATGTGGTAAGAGGTTCATGAACCGAATACCGTTTATATGCGGGTATGCCGAGTGAATAGAATGCGAACAGAAGCTGCAGTCACGAGTTATTCCAAGGAGACCTCACGGCAGTGCCAGAGTTAGTGAAGAGTTAGTTAGTGGAGATGGGCTAATGCTCGCACGGAAATATTCGGCTTCGCATACCTGATTAGCAGGACAGTCCCGAGTTAACTACTATTTGGAATAGATTGAACAGAGAGCCAGTGACAACCCTCAAACTGACGGCAGTGCTGGACGTTGGAGTGTAAGTGAATTTTACAGAAATGCATGCGTTCTAAAGGAATAAAGAAAATCGTTTTCAAGTAAATCACATAAACTCTTTGATTGCATTTTCATGCTGACTCATTCCTACCTAATGCAGCTTGCCCGAAGAATCAAGTGAAATACTCAGAATGTGAAAACGGAAAAGTACACATCACGGTGGTCGTATTTATGGTGCATAACTGCCGATGTATTCACCGCGAAAGACACCTGATCGCAAAATGTCAACTGAGACCAACCGCAGGTGCAATCGGACAATTGAATCCAACTAGGGGTGCGACTAGACCTGGACAAAAACCCGATTATGGTTTAGTGATGCCAGTCTATCGCCTGGTGGAATGTATCGATTTGTTGCCGACCTCTCAATGTCGCTTTTTAGAACGTCCGCCGCACGGAATATGTGAGAAAGTTGGAGAAGGACAGGATATGCTGTGTCGTCGCACATGTAACCAGTGTTCACGTGAGTTTCATCATGAGAATAGTTTGAAGCTTAGTGCCATCCTGTCTTAATGTAGGAATGATGCTAGTACATAACATATCTAAGTGAGTGACTGGGAATTGCTTGCGCTTCCTGTGGACAGAGGTCATGCGCCAAAGCCAAACTCGAATAGGCAAGCACTCCGGAGGGCGTGCACCTCGGTTTTCAGATATACTGATGGTCTGGAAGCGGAGAATAGGAAAAGATGATCGACGTTATTCTCGGTGTCCTACTTAGCATACACAGAATTTATTTATACTACATGGCAGTCGAGAAATTCCCGAACCCAGGAGCACGTATTTAAAAACTATGAAATTCAAACCGGAATGAAGCACTCGAAGCTGTGCGACTATTTAACAGATTTAATTTTGAAATGAATTTATATTCGTCCAACAGAGTCCATGCATGGCTCAGTACTGTTAATCCCTTGAAGTAATCCATAGCTGTTTCATCCGCGAATCATCCGCAGTGGGATTTGACCGAATCCATTTGGGGTGGAAACACATTGATTCTGGTTAACCAATTCACTCTCAATACAAACCGAAAACCTAAATCAAGCATTGGATAATAGTATGGTTCCTTTTCAGGATTGATCAGGTAATTTAAATCAAATCAAATCAAGTGACAAAATCTGATGTAGCCAAGAGGTCTTACTGGAAGTTCGATAAATGTCGATCAAAATGAATTCCGCTCATCCATGAAATTTGGTTAAATTCACCCACTCATGGATCGATCAGATCCGAGATCTCTTCTAATGGGCAAATAGACACGTTTTCAGTGAACCTGTTACAGACACGCAAAGATCCATCGTGGAGCTACTTCGTTTGAACACTATCCTATGAGTCTTTTTCCACGAATGTCGTGGTTTCCAAATAGTACCTGAGGGAATACATGATTGATGAACTCTTGCAACCATGTGTGGTTTCAATATTCGTACGATTGTGTGCGATTTGCTTTGTGGCTTTTTTAGCCGCTTTGGTATATCACCCTGAAAAACAATGAATCGGATGTGATTAGTGATCTATGATAAATTAGCGTTGTCCACTGGAAATTTATTTGTCACTTTCCGTAAATTTGTTTCTACGTCAACACTTCCGATCTTAAATGAATCTCCAGTAGATATTCCCTTTTGTAATCCCATTTGTCTTCAGGTTGTCCACTGGACCAGATCACTTTCCGTATTGTTCAACAAAATGGCCCCGGTGGAGCATGCATCATGTCAAACCGGCATTATGAGGGCAAGTATCTGCACCGAGTCCTTCGAGGTCCAGTCACTTTGGCTCATTGCAAGTTGGTTTGTGCTAGACATTCAGGTTGTCTCAGTATTGATTATTACGTCACCGAAAGACGCGGAGCTCCCGGTGCAGTCTGTGTGCTAAATCGAGTGGATCCGGCCACCCTGAGAGTAAGGTGGCCTGATCCGGTTGTTCTAGGTGCAAGTCAGAAGGAGCTGGAACGAATCGGAGCGGCGCGATGCTTCCTGTTTCGGAAAGTATGCAAACAAAGTGAGTAGTCTAGACACGATTGTCTTCACGGATTTCCATAACCCAAAGTGTAATTTGTTTTACCCATTAACATTTCACATATTCCAGTCAAGGAAAGGTGGGGCAGGCAATTGTTTTATCAGTTCTTCATATTATCAACGATGCACTTCAATTTTCTGCTTATTTCCTTTTATTTATTGAATAAATTGTGTCAGAGTCCATTTCCAGAAGAGGGTCTTCAGATAATCAAAAGCTGCCCGGGGAAATACAAACGAGAAAGACTCATTGAAACGGTGGCAATATTCGATCGATCACCGATGTTCCAACCCGTCAATTCCTCAAAAACCGATGGGTTTAATGCAACCAAACTGGCAAATAAGTGTCATATAGACAACCGGAATTTAAATTTGACTTTTTGAAACGTATTCTGACACGTGTTTGATACAAGAATTGATGGATTCATTCAGTACTTGAGGCAACTTGAACCAACCAGTATGGTCGTGGTTTCTGTGCTGAGAATGAATCTTATTTGATGTACACCAGACGGGCGAGGATTAATTAATTGCAGGGATTAGCTGTTCACGGGTCACGCTCCTACACAATCGCTGTTCACACCGGCTAATCGCGAAAATGCAAGGAAATTGNGAAATTGCAAAATGAAGGGATGGGTTTTGAAGTGAATCATTTGACTTACCCCAAAACTTCAGAGAAACGAATGCACGAGCTTGTTAAACACTATCAACCAGACACTGTATGACACTTTTGTTTACAACTAAGAAAGTATACGGTTTTGGAATTTTCCCCATTCATTGGTCCCGCTCTTTGAAGTCGTGTATACAGACCGCGTTTGGTAACAGAACATCCTGAATCCATAGCCAGGTACTAACCACAGAATCTGTTTCTTTCAACTCCTAAAGTATTTCATATTCCGGACTAATTTGTTTGGTTTTGATGCGATTCACTTGAGCCAAACAAACTGAAAAAAGGTTGCTCGTTTCTTTTTCTGAATCTCAATATGACCATAGAAATTTATTTAGACTGTTGTGATGCATGATTTTAATTTTTTTCGGGCTCTTTTCTTTTCCTGAATAAAAATATACTGTGAATGAAATGAAAGTAAACTGAACGGGTCTCGTTATTCTCCTGTTGCTTTCACAGCTACCTGAATCAGTGTGTAATCAAGGTATCAGAGGCTGGACTGCATCACTTACAGTTGAACGACATAATACGTATGGCCTACAGGGGTAAAAAAACGAATGGGACTGCATACATTTTGTATAGATGCTACCTTAAGTTTATACCAAAATCAGACAAACGATACAACTGCAACATTTATATACACCCCCTTGACTCTACTTTGATATCCCATTCCGACTGTGCCCTCTACCCTCCTTCACAGTGTGCCCGAAACCTCAAACGGAATTGCTCAGTCCATGCAAATGCGAACAATTGGAACAAGCTGTGGACGAACTAGACGTGGAAGATCCCCGAGGCAAATCAGTCACACACTGCGCAAAACGAGTCCGTGTACTGTTCTACGCTCAAACTCCATCCGGATATTGTGTCCGTAAACAATGGATTGGTACAGTGCCCTGCCCCAACCCAGACCGGAAAATGCATTTTGTGGGTCCTGAGGGAGATTGTGAAGATAAACAACCACCATTGTGGTGCCAAGATCGTCTAGCTTCCGCAAACAATGCATGTCACGATCCGAAGTTACGTGCGGTGAGTGCTAGTGGTGTTTGTGTGTGGGGTCTCAATGCGACTTCGTGTTACACTGAGGTTGTGCGTGTAGTAACGAAAAATTCGCTCGTTCCGCCACCTCTCTCAGCTACGCAAGAGCACATGAATGGGTGATGTGGAACGGTCGATCTCAATTGTGTTGATGGATTTATACGTAGCTCAAATTCGATCCATAAGTTACATCTGAGACACTCTTCGTATATTCTGAAACTAAGAGATGTCTAGAAAAAAAGCTACTGAATTACATATGTTCAGATAAGAGTAAGTGACTAGTGCAGTCAAACAACGCCCACGTCGACCGTAAAACTATTTATTTCAACCAGTGTTATTATAAGGAAGCCTTGTGAGAAAACTGATCCCCTAGATAAACCGAACTGATGACGACGATGATGATGCTGTTGGTTATGCTGAAGATAACTTAAAACCTGATGAAG